GAAGGTGTGGAGCCAGGCTGGGGATAGGATCAGCTAGATGACACCAACTGGAGAATGATGGGGGATAGGTGCCCACTGTAAGCGAGCCAACACTGAAAAGTACGAGGGAAAAAGAAAAACAACTGAGACATGGGCCAGCAGCAGGGGCAGAGAACGCTGGGACATGGGCCAGCAGCAGGGGCAGAGGAAAAGCCAAAAAACAGAAAAAGAGTTAGCAATGGAGAGAGAAGGAAAAGTCAAGAGGGGAAGTAATCAGTGAGATGATAAAGAGACACAAGACTTAGGATGCGGTAGAAGGAGTGTGCTTGTGATGTGACGTGTAGGTGGGAGCATGGAGGCGTGAGAAGGAAAAAGGGACGAATCACTGGATAAGAATGCTTGCTTAGGCAAGAAAAGACCAACCACCACCAGCGAAATGCGCAGTGCTCACCTAGGCACTGAGGGAGCCCTCGCTAATAAATTACAGAGCGAGACCTGAGATTAAACATGAAATGAGCGATGCCGTCTAACGGCTGAACTGAACTGGGCAGAGGTGGGGACAGCTCATCAACAATAGTCATAATGATCATGGGTGAAAACGGATAAGATTAAAGTCGGTTGATGACATGAAACGGACTGGTGAAGGTTCAGCTTTATAGTAACACACGACTGATGAGAGCGACAATTAGGGATTGCTTGCGGAGTTAGCCCCTCAGGAAACGGGTTATGGCTGTGGAACAATTCCGTAAAAAGCTGGAAACTCGAGCTGCTGAAATGAAGGTGAAGCTGAACCAACTACATAGGAGATCCCCCCCAAAAAAGGGCCATGCCCGACGGACTGAATTTAAAATGAAAAATAGAAAGAAAATACCATCTTAACTCATCAAAAAGCTTTGACGTGTAGAGATGTGCCACTCGAATGAACTCCACTGGACCTGGCAATGGGGTTGGGAGTTTAGACTAGAATGGCTGTGAGCTTTAGGATACCTGCAAGAGCTGGTTGCCGTAGTGACAGACCCACAAGAATGACTGGTAAGAGTCTAAAGGCTATTGGCCCAGAAGTGAGACTGGAATGAGCACATTTGAGTGTGGGACCGGGGTAAGTGAGAGAACCGACTACATAGCCTGAAAGTGGCAGGATGGCCTGGGAAATAATCTGCCGATTCTGGGAGATCTTGAGATAAGAACTGAGAAGCGACCCATGGGACTTGAACAGGACACATCAGAATATGGAACAGCTTGGTTGATAGCGGCGAAGCAAGTAGACCAGGAATATCCAGAGTTCAGCTAAGAAAAACCTAAAACTTAAGCTACGAAAAGGATCATCTGCTGGAATAGTGACTGCCAGACCATTTAAATCCTCCGGATTGTTCTGAACTGAGCTATCGGAATGAAATATGAATCAACGACTATACATTGCGCATGTGGAAAAATCCTATAAATCAAATGCTTTAAAAAAAAACCCACGTCTTACATTGAGACTAAACCAGTTCTATTTAAGGTTGCTTTGATAAGTAGTGAATGGACACGAGCAAAATTTTTTTTTTTTAAGAAACAATGATTGGACAATGCCCTCGTCAACAAGAATTTAAGGCCGATTAATAATTAGCAGAAGCGCTGGACAGACTCAACCGAACTGAAGAGGAATTAGTTGACTTCATGTTACGTTGGCAAGCCACTCTACTACACGTATTGCGTCGCAACAGGGTAAAAGTCCACAATTAGGTGAATGACAATTTATGCCTCATGTATGAGAAGGCAAGCCGAGACGCGAACCCCTGCTCCAGACGAGATTAGCTGATTGAATTGACTGTTTAGGTCATGATAAGGAGTAAATTTAAAATATGCTAATTTTAAAAACTTGCCATGTCTTTATTGGAAAGCCTAATTACAGTTCTCAGATTAATAACTTATTCTGTCCTGTTAACCTTATGTTACCTGTAGATAAAGTAGATTGTTTGCCAAGATCTGTTGAACTGCCCTTGTGTGGGAAACCATCAGGAGAAGTTCCAGCTTTCACACAATCTGTGAAAAGCCTTGAAACAGCAGGAGTCCAGGCCAGTAGATGAGAAGCTCTGCTTCCACTTGTTTAGATAAAGGTGACCATTTGAGCTTGATCTTGAAAACAAATTGCAGGGAGTGTCTAACTCTAAAGAGGATCAGAGACAACTCCTGGTTGGATGAGCAAAGCTACGCCTTATTTGAATAAATAAAAGTCTAGAATACACCTTTACTATAAAACTTTGTACACAGCAGTAACTACTCAGATTTGCTCTTGTAATTCTCCAAAGACGTCCAAGCACGTCTTTGCTTCTTTCTTCCTTCTTTCCATTCGACTCAGGTAAATTAATGCATGTCTCTGTTCTGCCGTTCTGTTGCAATTTCATGTGCGTCTTCTTTGGATTAAACTAATTCTGAGATGTCTACACTCGTTTTCTGTGTGATTTAACTCGGCCCGCCGGGAGAACCTGGGATCCGTGAGAAGAAGATGGAGCCAGAGATATTCCAAAATTACAACAGAATGAATCTACGTAGCTGAACACACACGACGACAATGGTCACGGGCATCTTGTTAACAAGCTTAAGGGGTTGTATTGAAATTAGTCATAACTAAGCTAACATCACCTGCATCCAGCGGCATTACTCTACTCGGTCGGTTAAATTACGCAAAGAATTGGCGTTATACTAGCGGCTCCTACGCCGTTGGCGACTGGTGTGAACGTCTCCGGGCTCAAGTTACGTTTGAAGGCGGTTTGAAATAGATTATGATATGTTAACAGCACATAAAAACTGTTTTAATTGCAGAACAAGGTTGCAGAGGACGCGATAAGGGAGATGGAGGAAACTCCGGTACCAAATCGATGCAGGAATATCAAAGAGTTGGCCATGTAGGTAAAACACGGGGCTTGCAGAACAGCCGGGACACAACTGAAGTGACCGCCCGCGCTGCCGGGCCTGGGTAGCATAAATTATAATACAGCTCAGACGACAAAGAATACTGCACTGACTAGCGACGAATAACTAATGTGAAGCAGATAGATAACTGCGGTGACCAAACGACCCGTTAATGATGGGCTGCACTGCTCGCAGTTGAGTGCACATGCATCTGCTATTTATATGATAGACATCCCTCCAAGGCTGACTGGATTCTGACATACGCCTTGCAGCGCTTACGCAACAGCTGGTCACCTGCTGAACCAATGTTATGTTTAAAGGCGCCNAAACAGCTTGGTTGATAGCAGCAAAGCAAGTAGACCAGGAATATCCAGAGTTCAGCTAAGAAAAACCTAAAACTTAAGCTACGAAAAGGATCATCTGCTGGAATAGTGACTGCCAGACCATTTAAATCCTCTGGATTGTTCTGAACTGAGCTACCAGAATGAAATATGAATCATCAACCACTATACATTGCGCATGTGGAAAATTCCTATAAATCAAATGCTTAAAAAAAAAAACCCACGTCTTACATGAGACTAAACCAGTTCTATTTAAGGTTGCTTTGATAAGTAGTGAATGGACACGAGCAAAATTTTTTTTTTTTAAGAAACAATGATTGGACAATGCCCTCGTCAACAAGAATTTAAGGCCGATTAATAATTATCAGAAGCGCTGGACAGACTCAACCGAACTGAAGAGGAATTATTAGTTGACTTCATGTTACGTTGGCAAGCCACTCTACTACACGTATGGCATCGCAACAGGGTAAAAGTCCACAATTAGGTGAATGACAATTTATGCCTCATGTATGAGAAGGCAAGCCGAGACGCGAACCCCTGCTCCAGACGAGATTAGCTGATTGAATTGACTGTTTAGGTCATGATAAGGAGTAAATTTAAAATATGCTAATTTTAAAAACTTGCCATGTCTTTATTGGAAAGCCTAATTAGAGTTCTCAGATTAATAACTTATTCTGTCCTGTTAACCTTTATGTTACCTGAAGATAAAGTAGATTGTTTGCCGAGATCTTTTGAACTGCCCTTTGTGTGGGAAGTCATCAGGAGAAGTTCCAGCTTTCACACTGATCTGTGAAAAGCCTTGAAACAGCAGGAGTCCAGGCCAGTAGAGGAGAAGCTCTGCTTCCACTTGTTTAGATAAAGGTGGCAGTTTGAGCTTGATCTTGAAAACAAATTGCAGGGAGTGTAACTCTAAAGAGGATCAGAGACAACTCCTGGTTGGATGAGCAAAGCTACGCCTTATTTGAATAAATAAAAGTCTAGAATACACCTTTACTATAAAACTTTGTACACAGCAGTAACTACTCAGATTTGCTCTTGTAATTCTCCAAAGACGTCCAAGCACGTCTTTGCTTCTTTCTTCCTTCTTTCCATTCGACTCAGGTAAATTAATGCATGTCTCTGTTCTGCAGTTCTGTTGCAATTTCATGTGCGTCTTCTTTGGATTAAACTAATTCTGAGATGTCTACACTCGTTTTCTGTGTGATTTAACTCGGCCCGCCGGGAGAACCTGGGATCCGTGAGAAGATGGAGCCAGAGATTTTCCAAAATTACAACCTAAAATCTTCAACAGGCAGAATGAATCTACGTAGCTGAACAACGACAATGGTCACGGGCGTCTTGTTAACAAGCTTAAGGGGTTGTATTGAAATTAGTCATAACTAAGCTAACATCACCTGCATCCAGCGGCATTACTCTACTCGGTCGGTTAAATTACGCAAAGAATTGGCGTTATACTAGCGGCTCCTACGCCGTTGGCGACTGGTGTGAACGTCTCCGGGCTCAAGTTGCTTTGAAGGCGGTTTGAAATAGATTATGATATGTTAACAGCACATAAAAACTGTTTTAATTGCAGAACAAGGTTGCAGAGAACGCGATAAGGGTGATTGAGGAAACTCCGGTACCAAATCGATGCAGGAATATCAAAGAGTTGGCCATGTAGGTAAAACACGGGGCTTGCAGAACAGCCGGGACACAACTGAAGTGACCGCCCGCGCTGCCGGGCCTGGGTAGCATAAATTATAATACAGCTCAGACGACAAAGAATACTGCGCTGACTAGCGATGAATAACTAATGTGAAGCAGATAGATAACTGCGGTGACCAAACGACCCGTTAACGATGGGCTGCACTGCTCGCAGTTGAGTGCAGATGCATCTGCTATTTATACGATAGACATCCCTCCAAGGCTGACTGGATTCTAACATACGCTTGCAGCTCTTACGCAACAGCTGGTCACCTGCTGAACCAATGTTATGTTTAAAGGCGCCTCGGAGAAACAGGTGACGATGTTTTAACTAAGTCAATGTTCGGATAAAAGTCCTTGAACATTAGAACCTGAGTGGCACATGTATATACGGCCAAAGTGTTCGGGAGGGGATAAACTAATGAAAAGTGTCTGCGTTACGAAGTATTGCGAGACTCGAATGAGACATGAGAATGCTACGTCTTACCCTGGTAGCCTGAAACAGGCGTAGTGAGGGAAAACCAGAGAGGTGTTGCTGAGCGGGCTGACAGCGACCATGCAGGAGAGGGAAATCGTAGGCATGCTGATCCTTAGCGTGGCACTGGTGTGAAGGCGCTGAGGTGAAGACGACGGTGCGGGTTGAAAACAGTGGGATCACGTGTCTGTTTGCCAGAGGTGGATCATGGAGTAGGTGGCGAGGGAGCGGAAGATGGAGAAATCCCAGTCAGGAGAGAAAGGGGGAAGACGCTACATGAAATCATCGAGGAATCTCTTGCATCTGAGGAGCATCCTGACAGCCATGACGGGCATGCGGAAGTGAGAGAAGCTTGGCGGGCGAAGGAAGATGGCCTTTGCTGCTTCCCTCAGATCCTCCCTTTTGATTCTGTCGTTTTTCTTTACGGCATCTTTAAACGGGCTGTTCCCTCCACGTAGAGCTCCGCAGTTAGCTACCTTGTCTCACGACTGTGCGGGAGGTAATGCGTCGTGCATCACAGGCCAAAGGGATCAAAGTAAACAAGGTGACCGGAGGGCTTATGTTTTCCGGAGGTGGATCGTGGAGTAAGTGAAATCCTAGACAGGTGAGAGATAGGCGGGAGAAGCTGCTTGAAATGATCGAGGCTGGGGCCGGGAGAAATCTCTTGCATCCGGGGAGCGTCTGAGGGTTAAAAGAAAGGACCAACGCAGGACGCGAGGTCGAAGGACGGGGAATCACGAAGCTGTGGAGGAGCTGAGACGTGCAGATGAACGGATTGAACGCAGCTGGGAAGC